AGTGGGGCATGGCATCGTGCCCTAATGCAAATTGCTGGAACTTCACGCACCGTGATTAAAAATTCGAGTAATGAAAATAATCAATAATTGTTTTAAATAATTTCAAATAGATTATCCTCTTCTTCTGTATATATAAAAATAAGTTGGGTTTTCCTTCCTGACGATTCAACCCCAGAACGCACGAACCGAATTCGACAATTTTGCATTCGTTGTAAAGGTCTCGGGCTCCGAGAAACCGAAGGTTTATAGCTGAGAAAATAAATGGTGCATGGCATCATATATTCAATTATATATATATATATATATATATATATATATATATATACAGTACAGGCCAAAAGTTTCCGGACACATGAAAAAAATCTCATTTTCCGAGTTTTGAGCTATATTTTTCATATAAAAATAATTTTATTCAAGTTAGTTTTGTACATTCTACGTAGTATTAATATTTAGTGACTGATTTGTAACCAATTTGTGAGAAATGATGAACTAATTAGCAATGAAAATGTTAAAATGTCACAGTCGATTTTCCTGAATATGACCACCCTTTGCTTTGATCACTGCAGCGCATATTTTTGGTAATCTTTTGACGAGTTTTTGCAATGTTTGCGCAGGTATGTTCTTCCAGGACTCGTTAAGGCAATTCCACAGGGCAGGGAGGCTGCTTGGATGCAAATCAGTCAGACAAATGCACAACAGTTCTATTGGATTAAGATCTATTATTTGAAATTTTTTTTCGTCTTGTTTTCGCTTCAAATAATTGGCACAGAGTCGGGAAGTGTGTTTAGGGTCATTATCTTGTTGAAAAATAAATTTTGGACCAATTAAATTAATACCAGATGGAATGGCGTGGCGCTGAAGTATGGTATGATACTGTTCTTTCTTTAAAGTTCCATCTTTTTTGACAAGCGATCCGACTCCATTGAATCTAAAACAACCCCAAGCCATCACTGAACCACCACCGTGCTTCACCTTTGGCGAAATACACTTAGAATTAAGTCTTTCATTACCCTTCCTACGTCGATGATTTCCGAAAAGTTCGAATTTTGACTCATCCGTCCATAAAACTGATTTCCATTGATCGATGGTCCAATTTAAGTGGGTTTTGGCAAATTGCAATCTCTTTTGTTTATTTACTGTTCGCAGAAGTGTTTTTTTGAGTGTCCTGCACAATCGCCGGATCTTAATCCAATAGAGCTGTTGTGGGACGAGCTTAAATGCCTCATGAAGGATTTGCATCCAAGCAGCCTCCCTGCCCTGTGGAATTGCCTTAACGAGTCCTAGAAGAACATACCTGCGCAAACATTGCAAAAACTCGTCAAAAGATTACCAAAAATATGCGCTGCAGTGATCAAAGCCAAGGGTGGTCATATTCAGGAAAATCGACTGTGACATTTTAACATTTTCATTGCTAATTAGACCATCATTTCTCACAAATTGGTTACAAATCAGTCACTAAATATTAATACTAAGTAGAATGTACAAAACTAACTTGAATAAAATTATTTTTATATGAAAAATATAGCTCAAAACTCAGAAAATGAGATTTTTTCATGTGTCCGGAAACTTTTGGCCTGTACTGTATATATATATATATATATATATATATATATATATATATATGTGTGTGTATGTATATCACATTGCTCAATAAGTCCATACAATAACTAAGAAAAACCCAATTTTTTGTCAATTTTTTTTTTATTCAATATAGTTTTTTACAACCGATTATAGCCAATTTCGAACCTTTCGATTCTATTTTTATAGTGCGATTTGTACTTTGCCACAAAATTTAGCAATCATCTCTTCATTGGGCAAAAACTCCTTTACAGCGAGCATCCTATTGAGATCTGAAAGCAGGATATAGTCGCTGAGGAACAGATCTAGAGAATATAGTGTGTGGGAAACCAACTTCAAATTCTCTAATAACGCTAAATAAAAGTCACTGTTAATAGTCTGCCCTTTATCATTATAGTTCATGAAAATCATTCCTTGCGAATCCTAAATAACTGACGACATAATCTCACCGGCTGATCATTTGCATTTGTTTTCATCATCATGTCTAGTTCACTCAGTTCACTCAACTAACTGTCTATTTGACTCCGGAGTGTATTGCTGTAGCCAGGTCATATTCTTGGTAACATATTGATACAAAAATAGTTTTTTTTGGTTAAACAACTTCAAATACTCTTACAAATCATCAAATCATTATAATTTTGATCAAATGTGAGTTTGCGCGGCATTTATTTATAACAGAGTTTTTTCCTATTCAATTATTTGTTAACTGTAACGTCCAACATGTTCTATTGATATCTTTAGGGTGTCAGTTATCTCAGGCTGTCTTACTTTTCTATTTTCCAAAATTCTTGACTATTTGACTATTTGTTGTTTTCCTGTTTCCATATTGCCTACGGTATCCAATTTTGGGGTTTCTCTAACGAACTAAGTATAGTTGTTCTTAATTTCATAAAAATTAATCCAGACTTTTTTTAATTTGTCTTCGATGTCAAATACAGAGTACAATATTAGTCATTAATTAGTTAGGTCGGACTTATAAACTACACGGTTCTTTTAATACTATCGGCGTCTCGGTATACAATTTATGAACAAACTGCCCTTACGTGTTCGTATTGATAACCTTTGATAATAAGAATTTTCACAAAGCACTAAGTAATGCACCTCAGGAATTTTTAGATATCGATTTTTCAAATTATTTTCCCGAAAATTTCAACTAATCATTAACGAGACTTTTCCCTCTCGAAGAAATTTCTCTATTACAGGCAGCAGCAAGATCGATGGATCGATGACAGTAAAATCCTTACGAATGAACAGGCCTAAACCCACCAGCCATACCTACGATGCTCGTCACAATATAATTTGTTAAACTATAGTTTAACTTTAATATATTTATAAATACTTCTGTTGCAAAAATGCTTCTAAATTACTATTATTAACTTCCCTAAGGAGAAGTTTGTTTTCATAGAAAAATCCGAATCGCTAATTTTATGTTTTCTCGACGTTTCAAGTGATTCTGAATCGAATGAGTATTTGGAAAAAGTATGTGTGTGTGTGTGATTTTTTGCCGTAAATCTACGTTTTCTCAAAAACGGCTGGGTCAATTTCAAAAATTTAAAAGCCATTCGATGTATCTCGATGAGGACAAGCGATTATCAATTTTGCGCGATGATCAGCCAAGCCGTTTCTTTGTAAATAGCAGAAAAGAGAAAAAAAAATCGTCCACGTTTTAGCGCGAAATTCTGAATCGATTTTGAAAATTCAAAAACTATTCGAAAGATGTTAGGATGTTGTGATGGGTCTTAATTATGTATTTTTTTAAACCAGGAAAAGTTTATACTCAAAGTGAAGAAGAAGAAGAAGAAGAAAAAGAAAAAGAAGGAGAAGGAGAAGTTAGAAGAAAAACGATACAAAAAGATGAAGAAACATTTGAAAATTATGACTACTAGGAATAAATTTAGTTGTTTTTTTATAATTACCGCCTTTATTTTTTCCAACCCAAATTCACAAATATTATTTTGCAAGTGTTCCAGAACAAACAACATCACAACAGACCCGTGCAGTAGGTCTACTGGGAAAACCACGATAAAACGAAAACACTATCTCGTAAATGGCGTATAAACGTAATTTTTAAAGTCATATAACTTTAAAACGATGGCTCTGAGCAAAAAAAGTATTCATCCATTTTTTGTAGATAAAAACTGACCATTTAGTTAAATAGCGGAAAGGCGTCATTTTTTTACCTTTGACCTTGTGCCATTTTTTTACCTCGCATCGGATCGATGAGGACTTTTGAAATTTCTTTTATAATTGTATTTTAAATAATTTTGCCATCATGAATTATAATAACCTTAAATTTGTAAATTGACCGGGCTATAAAGTGTTGTAAAGTTCATTAAAATACTTCTTAAACTATTAAAAAATACTTGCAACAAACAAACTATTTATTTTTAAAAATTATTAAAATTAACTAAATATAAATAAGTTTATAGTAAATAAATTAAATAATAAATGAATAAGTAATAAAATAGTTTTTTATATTGTTTCAACAGCAATCAGAACTTCAAGACTTATGGCTTAAGATATTATTATGAGAGGCAACCCATCGGTTCACCATTCTCCTATGTTTGGGATTTACATATTAGCTCTTACGTCTAACAATTTACACATGATTGAATGATGCAACTATGTCCACGAAGGATAATTTCCACTTGGAATTATATTGTGATCTATAATCCCAAGTGGAAATTTGACATCAAAGTTGCGTGATGTCAGACTTAGCAGTAGCGGGAATCGAACCAGCGAACCTGGGACTAGTTGGTGCTAGAACACGCTATAACCGATATCACCACCGCTGGCCTCAACTAATAAAATAGTTAATAGTTAATTAAAATATGTTAAATTTGCAAAATATTGACATGAGCCTTATTATAATATCATTATACTGACGGCTTGTAAAATAAATAAATAAATAAATGAATAAATTGGCTTTCCAAAGCGTTCATCATTGTCTGTGTAATTTTTGCCTATTGCTTCGATTTGTCAGAGTCGAATCGATCAATAGACAAAATTGTGTTGAATTCATTTTTTTAAAAGAACTCAAAAGAACCGTCACTTGAACGTCTGTAACTTGTAAACTAATCGTCGGATTGTCATGAAATTTCGAGAGATATCTTCTTAAAATTGGTGCTTCATACAAATCACATGGCAATACATGGCAACAACAGCTATGTGTTATCCTACGGATTCTATATATACATACTTTCAATATTGATAAGTTTGTTTCATTTTTTTTAAATATTATGATTGGGCTTACATTTTAGAAAAAATATGTATCATTGTTTCGATATGTATCATAGTTTTCTGTTATTTCGAGAAATGTATGTTAAATTACTGTTAAACGTTGTGACTGCTATTATGATAGAATTATAAACACGCACTATTTTCAGGTCTCTAATCTAATAAGAAATATTTTCAATTTTCAGTATCATACACAGAAAGTGATCTTGGATGACATTTTAACAGTGGAAAAATCTTATGAGGTTGGTAAAGGTGCAGTCAATCTTAAACCAGACTTTGAGAAATTATCTAACAAGGATTGTGAAAGTATGTTGAAAACTTATGGTATAAAACGTCTTAAGAGAAAACGAACTAATCAAATATTGGAGTATATATATGACCAAACGCATCCGATAGCTAAGCTATCACTAAAAAAGTAAAGTAACATATTTACTAGTTAGCCTAGTCCATTGAATAAATAATAAAATTGTAAAATATATTATTCTTTGTACATATTTATATATCGCTTCCAGTTTTAGATTTATAGATTTTTCTAAAAAGCTTGGACCTAGTGGATTTGCTCATAATTTTGATTTGAAAAAATTAGATTCTCAAACATTTGATTTAAAAAAAAACCCTGATATTGAAAAATATTTGAAAATATTTTTATTGTTTATTTGTGGGTCAATTATTGAGTTTTGAGTGGGAAAACTGATTTGTGAATAAAAATAAATGTTTTTTTTTTAATGAAACTGTTTTTTTTTAATTTTCAATATAAATGTTTTTTATGTATAAAGATTTTTGTATCTGAATTGTGGAAACGATAATATTTAAAATTATATTTATATGTGAGTCATTCTTTTACAAACCGCACACCAACCAGACTTTGGCCTTTTAGAATCGTCTGATTTTTTTTACAGGTATTATACATAAAATCAATCGACACGTATTTCAGGATTTGGCTGAAAAAAAAAACGTAAACATTTACGAATAAAATATGGAAGTATTGTTGAGAAAATTGCAAAAACATTTTTTAACTTCCCGAAGGAGAAGTTTATGTTTTCATCAAAAATTCCGGTTTGCTAATTTTATGTTCACTTGACGTTTCAAGCCATTCTGAATCGAATGAGACCAAATTTGGAAAAAGTATGTGTGTGTGCGTGTGAACAGAACTTTCGCTGTAAATCGACGTTTCCTCAAAAAGGAATATCGATTCAAAAATTTATAAACCATTCGATGTGTCTCGATGAGGACTAGCGTTTATCAATTTAAATTCAATCAGAGTTTGCGCGACGATCAGTCTAGCCGTTTCTTTGTAAATAGCAGAAAAGTGAAAATTTTTTTGTTCACGTTTTAGCCCGCAGTTCTGAATCGATTTTAAAAATTCAAAAACCATTCGAAAGATATTGGTAGGAATCGTGCTGATTAGTTTTTCGTAAAGATGGGCTGGGCCGTTTTCTTGTAATGAAGTGTTCAAAAAATTTTTAGAACGATTTTTGATTTTTTTTTGACGGATGATACCATAGTTTTATAGATTATACTAAAATATTACGGCCCTACGGCAAATTATTTTATTTTAAAAATTTGTCAAAGTTTGCGTAAATATTCGCGTAAGGAATCTTTTTTGCAAAATCATGAAAAACGTGTCAAAATGCTTTTATAAATAATATCTATAAAAAAGTTCAGACAATTCTAAAATGTGAACATTTTATTTTGTCTAATATACGTGCTATTTGTGAAAGATTGGCCGGTATGTATGTCATCATTCAGTAATTCGAAAAAAATCATACAATAATTTAAACATTTTTACAAAAAAAAACTACTAAACTGGTGATGTATGGCATCGGCTTTAAGGCAAATTGTTGGAACTTTCCGTACCGTAACGAAATGTTCGAGGAATATTAAATGTTTTCAAATAGTTTATTATAAATACTGTAACATTGTCTAATATTGATAAGAATTATATAAACTGAATTACAAAGTTTAAATTATTTATTTAAAGTATATAAGCAAGCTTAGAACTTTAGCGGACACACAACACACACACACTCACATCCTTATTTTCTGAGGTATACCAAAATGTTCAGAAACTTTGAAACGTGAAGATATGCAAAAAATGTTTTTTCGATTTTGGGCCCATTACTATGACTTACCCTACGGGAAGACAATTATTTATGAAAATTCCATATATATGAAGATATATAATTTCTTCTTATATATAAAAATGGAGCTCTCGATCAAATGATTCGGTAAAACTTGAAAACGGCTAAACCGATTTTGCCAGTCTTAGTCTTGAAAAATTCGTGCTAATCACTAGGTTGTCAGAAAGGTGAGATATTATTTCAAAATCGCGTAGAAACTTTACATTTTTAATTTGAAAATTTTGTAGAAGCGTAATTTAAATAAAACAAAGGACGGTCGTGGCTAACACGTCAAATGTCAAACGTTTTTGACAGATGATGTTCAATTACGTTTAATAGGATGTTTTACGTGAATATTATTTAATATTACAAACTTACTAATTGTAGTAAGTAGTTTTGTTTGTAGTTTTATTTATATACAAAAACATAGTAAACGGTAAAGTGTTACTAGAGACGCAAAATATCATCTTTTTTGAAATGTTAATATGAAAATGCACTTTTTGCAAATCATATTTTTCTCAAACAATTGGTCTTTTCAATTTTTTGGTTGCTTTCCAAAGAGAATAATTTGTTTCACTACTTGCAGAAAGATTATGTAAGTAGTTTTCAAAAGAAACATTTTTATAATTTATTATTAAATTTTTCAGGTCTCTGCATGCACTGTTAAATTTTCTTTTATCTTCCGGTGATCTAGTTATTTGCCAAATTCTTCTTAATTTCCTTTTCTGTGCAATGATTTTTTTAATATCTATGGGCACAGAGTGACTGTGATTGTGATTTAGAATAGGAGTCGATATTTTAGCTGCTGCAATTAATGTATTTGTGAAGTTGTTGATACCGATATTCAAATCATTCTCACTTTTTAATGGAATATTACAGTTAATGGTGTCTTCGATGTATTCTTGGAAAAGAAGCCAATCGGTAAATTTGTTTGTAAGCGAACTCATGACTTTGGTTGGAGTATTAGTGGAGTATTTAAGAATTACTGGTGAATGATCAGAACTGAGATCCAGACTTGAATTTATTTCAACACTCTCGTTTTTAATATTTTTGGCTACAAAAAAATCGAGGAGGTCTGGAATTTTGTTCAAATCAGTTGGCCAGTATGTGGGCTCACCCGTAGAAAATGTCCGAAGATTATTATTATTTATTGTATTATACAATTGACGGCCTCTAGGTGTTATTAGTCTAGATCCCCAAAATGTGTGCTTTGCGTTATAATCACCTCCCGCAATAAACAAATTTCCAAGGCTGGTAAAAAAAGTTGTAAACTGATTTTCAGTAATAATGTGCCTTGGCGGACAATAGATTGCCGACACTGTAATTTTGTGAGTCATTAGGTCAATTAAAACATTTGTACCAATTGTACCAATTCCTCCTTTAAGAAAAACAGACGGTTCATGGGCAAGAAGTCCAGAAGAAAAAACTAATGCATTCGCCGAACACCTGCGCCTCACATTTCAGCCATTTTCACGTAAATGCAACTCTAATGATGAACAATTCATTTATGATTTTCTTCAGGATTCACCGTCGCTAGTGACTCATGATGTTAATCGTTTTACTGCGGCTGAAGTAACCCAAGAAATTGCAAAAGCAAATTCTAGAAAATCACCTGGACCAGACCGGATTTCTATTAAAATGCTTAAAGAACTTCCAAGAAAAGCTATTAGAATGCTCACAATAATATATAACTCTATACTGAGAATGAAAACTTTTCCGCAGTCTTGGAAAAGAGCTAAAATAATCCTTATAGTGAAACCAGGTAAAGACCCTTATCTATTATCTTCCTACCGGCCGATAAGTTTATTGTCTTGCATATCGAAAATATTTGAAAAGCTAATTCTTCAACGGATTAAAATAATCCTACAAGAACAAAGTTTTATTCCGAACCATCAATTTGGGTTTCGCGACAAACATTCAACAATTGAGCAAGTTCACAGAATAATAAACGTAATTAACAATGCGCTGCATAATAAAGAGTACTGTTCTGCGGCTTTTTGGATCTCAAGCAGGCATTTGACAAAGTATGGCATACCGGATTAATGTATAAAGTTAAAAGATGTTTACCAGATTCTTTATTCCTATTAATAAAATCATATTTACAAAATAGAAACTTTTTTGTCAGCATCGCCGATACGGACTCAAATATTACCGAAATTAATTCTGGAGTGCCTCAAGGGAGTGTCCTCGCCCCAACACTATTTTTAATTTTTACAGCTGATTTTCCAACTTCAGCTGACACGAGTTTAGCCACATTTGCTGATGATACGTGCATCATCGCCACAAACAAAGATCCGACTGCAGCTTCCAACAGCCTTCAGCACCATCTCAGCTTAGCTGAGAAATGGTTTTCGTTGTGGAGGATAGAAGTAAATAGCACAAAATCAGTCCATATAACTTTCACGCTTCGCACCCAAACTTGCCCAGCAGTTGTACTCAACGATGAAATTATTTCGTCCAAAGAATCAATAAAGTATCTCGGCATTCACTTAGATAGGAAACTCAACTGGAAAGTACACATAAAGAACAAAAAACAACAAATAGATCTAATCTTCAAAAATTATTATTGGCTCTTAAACAGAAAATCAGAATTATCAACTTACAACAAATTACTTATATATAAGGCTGTGATCAAACCCGTGTGGACCTACGGATTACAACTTTGGGGTACTGCTAAAAAGAGCAATTTAAACATAATACAACGAGCACAAAACAAATTCCTGCGGCAAATATTAAACGCTCCTCACTACACGCCAACATGGATTCTCCACAAAGACACGGGTATACCTACAATTCAAGAACATATATCAATGTTTGCCTGTAATTATAAGAATAGAATTGACGCACATCCAAACCAACTAGCATGCAACTTATACCAGGATGGCCAGCCGACCAGGCTCAAAAGGAAAATACCTCGAGATTTATTATAGTTTATTTTTATATTTATATTTTTTTTTCTCTATATTTGTCTTTAGTTTTTTCTTTTTTATATATTAACTATAGTAGATACACCACTGGGCGTATGTACTAATTTGTAAACAACCAATTGTAAACAATTGTCAGCATTCTCTGCTAAATATAATTATTTTTATAGATTGCAGAATAAAAATAAAATAAAAAAAAAAAAAAAAAAAAAAATATTTTTCTCAAACACGGTGCTCTGAAAGATCTCATTTGTATAATTAACGTAAACGTACCATATTACGGGATGTTAAGGAACGTTTGACTTTAAAGACGAATCTTAGAGAAAATAGGAAAGTGGACGATCTAAATCTCTTATATTTTATTAATTAGACCTTTAAGATTATTATAAAACAAGATTTTTCGTCGTAGAACGTCATTTATAGAAATAATCGGCATTTTGCTGAACCACGCGTTTGTCCCTAATTCCGTGTTAAAATTCGGCTCATGAACATAATGCC